ATGTCAGAGCCTCCAACAAGTAAAACAGCGAGCAGTACAGTTGCAACATCACCAAACCTCACTTCAAATTTGGCGAGACTAGCAGTCAGAGGCAGCAGTTTCTTAGATCTCACTCTGAAGATATACGGCTATGAGGCTGTAGATCCTGGAGTGCCTGGATCTACAGCTTCATGCATTACACCAGAAATACATTTACTATTTTTCAGGAGGAGTTTGGGACATAAAGTAAAAGCGTACTGCATAGGCAGAAATAACATTGCTACAGTGTTCATGTATTTAGCAATAACTACTTCAGTGTTCAGTAGAGATACATTCTTCAACCAGTAGGTGGCAATGTTTATAAGTTTGTAGCTGCATCTATGGTTAAACTCTTTGTCTTTTCTCTTTAATAAAGTTCCTGTTTCCTGTTAGAGAAGCAGCAGATAAACACACGTGGACTGTGCACTGACTGTTCTGTAGTGCTATATACAGAATCTATAACAAGTTATGGAACCAGACACCCAGACATAGCCAACTACAGCAAACCAGTGCAAGATACAGCAACAGAAAGAAGACTGCAACAGAATAAGAAGAAAATTGCCAGTAACACAGCTGCAACAAAGCTTTCATTTGCAAACCTGACAAACCAAAACTATCAATTATAGAATAAACCTTGCGTTACATAAAATAATAAATACATTACAGACTGCAGTACCCACACAAATCCTGAATACTGGATCCACAAATATTATAATACAAAAAATATGCACGGTCTCGTGAAAGACCTAGTGATTGTGAAGTACTGAGTTGACTGAAGAATTGAGTCTCCAATCTCAGAGGAAGCCTGACACAGGAAAATTCATCAGGTAAAGCCAAAGCTGTGAACGTCTAGGCCAGCCGTGGCCGTGCTATGGCTTGTTTCACCGCTGATAATTTCAAGATGAATGTAAGTGTAATAATTTTAGATTAAACTTATAGTTTTACATTTTTGCTCCATGAACCTTCTTCTCTTTTACATTTTACTTTTAACCATTGCCGGGGAGTGTTTGGTCAGATATAAGCGGCAGCATGGCAGAGTGATTCCTCTGGTGCGGGGACATGTCTGCTGAATTTTACAGACGGTGTCACCGATTATCCTGGCTATCTGGTGGTGATAGCAAAGTATCAAGCACGATTCATCTCTTTTCATGTTGAGATCATTTTTTTTTCTGGTAAGAGGCTGTGTCATTTGAGGAGCACTGGAGCAGTTGGTGTGATAAGAGCACCAGGCACTTTAAGAAGAGCACCATTTCTTGTTTATTTTATGAATTAATCTTTCATGAACTTTATTTGATGAACTTTATGCACATTTACTTTAATTGCTTGATTTCTACGTATACATATGATGAACATTGAATATGTTTGTTAGTATATAATATGTGATTAGCATACAGTTTTTTTTTGTTTGGATGACTTCACAATCACTAGGCCTTCCATGAGACAGCACATCTTTTTTGTATTATAAACCAAAACTATCAGTCTTGGAATTTTAAGATGAAAATGCTGCTAATAAGTTAAATTAAATGAAGTCCGGCCAGAAACACCTTTCAGACGAGTGGATAGAAAAAGACCAGAAAGCTCAGAGCACAATCTCTCTTAGCATAGAAGATGATCAAATCATACATAAATGTAAGTGTGAAACTGCTAAAGAAATGTGGGAAGGATTACAAAAGGTAATCCCTGCAATAAACTGTATTTGATTAGAAAGCTTTACCAAACCAAGCTGATGAAAGGCCAGGATATCCAGGATAACATAGGCACACCTTAGAAATGGTTGAATGCCTGAAAGGTATAGGAAAAGATATAAAAGATTTTCATGTCACAATACTATTAGTTGTTTACTTGATGCAAGTCCAGATGATGAACTGACATTGCAATATGTTAAGGGAAAGCTTGTGGCTGAATATAAGCGTAAACAGAAAGCATTAATAGTGATGGTGCTTCTATCGCAGTCTTCTTTAAAGATGCAAAATTTTAATAAAAACAGTAACATGCAACAAAAAACATGTGAATGCTTTGTGTGCAAGAAACAAGGTAGTTTAAAAGCAGATTGCAGAATCTGGAAAGCTAGAATGCAAAAACAATCTAAACTTCAAAAAGCCAAATGTCTGAAGGAAGAAACTGATTTTTCATCAGATAATAATTACTGTATTTTTCGCTCCATAAGACGCACTTTTTTCCCCCCAAAAAAGGGGGGGAAATGTCAGTGCGTCTTATGGAGTGAATATGGAGCAGCCGGTCCGGTATTTCCACCGCTGCCGTGTCAGAATACCGGGCCGGCCGCTCAGCTATGCAGTGGGACCTTACCTGTTCCTCTATCCAGCGGTGCGCTGTCTTCCCGGCTTCTGTAGTGTGCGTGACAGCCGGGTCCCAAGTGCACATGCGCAAGAAGCGGTGCTCTTTGTGAATGGTAAGGCGGTACCTGGGACACATGAGAGATCCCAGAAGCCACCGGACCAATCACAAAGCGCAGTGCTTCTCGCTCATGCGCACTGGGCATCCAGCTGTCTGCCGAGCGCCCATACTACAGAAGCCGGGTAGACAGCGCGCAGCTGGATAGAGGAACAGGTAAGATCAAAGAACAACTCGCGGAAGTAAGAGCGGGTACCTGTCAAATTCAGGTACCCGCTCCCCCCCCCCCTCCCCAAAGGTCAGCAGTCATCTCCTGTACTGTCCGCAGTCTCTGGTCATCCCTGTGCTGTCCGCAGTCTCTGGTCACCCCCTGTACTACGTCCGCAGTCTCTGGTCATCCCCTGTACTGTCCACAGTCTCTGGTCACCCCCTGTACTACGTCCGCAGTCTCTGGTCATCCCCTGTACTGTGTCCGCAGTCTCTTGGTCATCCCCTGTACTGTCCGCAATCTCTGGTCATCTCCTGTACTGTCCGCAGTCTCTGGTCATCCCTTGTACTGTCCGCAGTCTCTGGTCATCCCCTGTACTGTGTCTGCAGTCTCTGGTCATCTCCTGTACTGTCCGCAGTCTCTGGTCATCCCCTGTACTGTGTCCGCAGTCTCAGGTCATCTCCTGTACTGTCCGCAGTCTCTGGTCATCTCCAGTACTGTCCGCAGTCTCTGGTCATCCCCTGAACTGTCTGCAGTCTATGGTCATCCCCTGTACTGTCTGCAGTCTATGGTCATCCCCTGTACTGTCTGCAGTCTCTGGTCATCCCCTGTACTGTCCGCTGTCTCTGGTCATCTCCTGTACTGTGTCCGCAGTCTCTGGTTATCTCCTGTACTGTCCGCAGTCTCTGGTCATCTCCTGTGCTGTCCGCAGTCTCTGGTCATCTCCTGTACTGTGTCTGCAGTCTCTGGTTATCTCCTGTACTGTCCGCAGTCTCTGGTTATCTCCTGTACTGTCCGCAGTCTCTGGTCATCTCCTGTACTGTCCGCAGTCTCTGGTCATCTCCTGTACTGTCCGCAGTCTCTGGTCATCTCCTGTACTGTCCACAGTCTCTGGTCATCTCCTGTGCTGTCCGCGCAGTCTCTGGTCATCCCTGTACTGCCCGCAGTCTCTGGTCATCCCTGTACTGTGTCCGCAGACTCTGGTCATCTCCTGTACTATGTCTGCAGTCCATTAGTTCAGAATTTTTTTTTTCCTGTTTTCTGCCTCTAAAACCTAGGTGCGTTTTATGGTCAGGTGCATCTTATGGAGCGAAAAATACGGTATGTTTTTCAATCCAAAAGTTGCACATCATCCTTGCAGGCATGGTGTGTTGATTCAGGAGCTACGAGTCACATGACAAATTACAGAAATGTCTTTATTTACTTTGATTAGCGTAAAAACAGAAAAAGTTCCTGTTTCCTGTTAGCAGACAAGCAGCAGATAAACACATTAGACTGTGCACTGTCTGTTCTGTAGGGCTATATTCAGAATCTCTAACACATATGATGCATTTTAATCAGGAGATAATCCTACCTCCAGAACATGCAGGGCTACCTAAATCCAGTAGGAAATGCCTGATAGTGACTTCTTACCTCATGCACGTTAGCTCCCCAGCACACACAGAAATAATGGCAGCAGTGTTCCTAGTAGGCATATAGCTTGGACAAAAACTAAATAAGTGCAGATAACAATGCTTCATAAATAAAGCAAACTAAAAAGCAAACAGGATACATCACAGGAACTGACAAAAATCACAATCTGAACTCTACTGGTTAGTAAATCAATCTGACTACACCCACAAGAGAAAACCCATATGGAAATTTATTTCAGGTGCTGCTATTGCTCTGACACTGTTCCAAAGTAAGGACATTTACTATGTTTAACATAAGCACTTAAAACCAAAAGAAAACATTTATTTTATGGCAACTTACCAATTCTTAGAAAAAAGCAAAAACCCTAACAAAAAAAAACTAATGGGGCTTTCTAAGGCACCATACCATATGAAAATATAAAGATGCACAGCATGAAAACACTAGATAATATAGAACAAGTTTTATTATTAAAAAAACCACATAAGTGGTAAAAGAGACCATATGGTCAGCCAAAATAGACACATACATAGTAAAGCAACAAAAATAAAACATAAATCTAAAATAACAAAAAAGGGGGGAATGCTCTGGCCCAGGACGCAAAAGCGTCACAAGCAAGAGTCTAAAAGCCCCAACAATAACATTAGATACCGTATTTTTCGCTCCATAAGACGCACCTGACCATAAGACGCACCTAGGTTTTAGAGGCAAAAAACAAGAAAAAAAATATTCTGAACCAATGGACTGCAGACACAGTACAGGGGATGACCAGAGACTGCGGACACAGTACAGGAGATGACCATAGACTGCGGACACAGTACAGGAGATGACCAGAGACTGCGGACACAGTACAGGAGATGACCAGAGACTGCGGACATAGTACAGGAGATGACCAGAGATTGCGGACATACTACAGGAGATGACCAGAGATTGCGGACATACTACAGGAGATGACCAGAGACTGCGGACACAGTACAGGAGATGACCAGAGACTGCGGACACAGCACAGGAGATGACCAGAGACTGCGGACACAGTACAGGAGATGACCAGAGACTGCGGACACAGCACAGGAGATGACCAGAGACTGCGGACATAGTACAGGGAAAATACCAGGGACACAGTACAGATGACCTGAGACTGCAGACAGTGCAGGGAATAACCAGAGACTGCAGACAGTGCAGGGAATAACCAGAGACTGCAGACAGTGCAGGGAATGACCAGAGACTGCAGACAGTGCAGGGATGCAGACAGTGCAGGGGATGACCAGAGACTGCAGACAGTGCAGGGGATGACCAGAGACTGCAGACAGTGCAGGGGATAACCAGAGACTTCAGACAGTGCAGGGGATGACCAGAGACTGCTGACCTTTGGGGAGGGAGGGGGAGCGGGTACCTGAATTTGACAGGTACCCGCTCCCACTTCTGCGGAGTTGTCGTTCCCTCTTCTTCCCGCGCCGGCTTCTGTGACAGCCGGGTGCCCACTGCGCATGCGCGAAAAGCGCTGCGCTTTGTGAATGGCCCGGCGCCTTCTGGGACCTGTCATGTGTCCCAGAAAACACTGGACCATTCACAAAGCGCAGCGCATGCACCCGGGTGTCACAGAAGCCAGCGCGGGAAGACTGTGCAGCGCTGGAGCGAGGAACAGGTAAGGCCCTACAGGAGAGAAGAGCTGAGCGGCCGGCCCGGTATTCTGACATGGTGGCGGCAGAAATACCGGACCGGCCGCTTTACATTCACTCCATAAGACGCACTGACATTTTCCCCCCTTTTTTGGGGGGAAAAAAGTGCGTCTTATGGAGCGAAAAATACGGTAAGTAAATCGTCATTGGGCAAATGTATTTCCATAGAGTTGAATTAGAGAAATGGATAATAAACTCAAAAATCCAACGCATTTTGTGGGATAAGACCCACTTCCTCAGGGAATTTAGGAAAACAAAATAACAGTGCCTATAATGGAAAAAAATACAGAACCATTTAACAATGAAAAATACAAATAAAACATAATAATGAACTCAATGCAAGTGTAAAGATAAATTACATGGATAAAGTAAAGGCAAAAAAAATTACCAACCGATGATGCTCTGTACAATAGTAACACCTGATGTAGATGAATACAAGAAAGCCTTATTCAGCAAACAAAGGGGAGGAAACCACCAGTCCAAGAGTATCTCTGGTCCTATTAGGGAACCATCAGTGCAACAGTACCTCTGGTAAGATAAACAGCAGAAAGCCAAACCAATATTCTAAGGGGGATGTGTTACTGGCCAGATCACTAGGTGAAAATGGGGGGAAAAAGCCAAAGAAAACTAATGCAGCCACCGCAACAAATGATTGGTGAGGTACACTATATTAAATTTTTGGTTTAGTCCCGCTTTTTCTGTTTCAATATTTTATATTAAGAAAGTTTGGATTTTTAAGAATATAGCAAGCTCAAAATACACCCTCGCAGGGGCAGAGCAGAACAATAACATATAAACAGGGAAATCCTGCTGACTGGTGTTAGTCAAATAACAATAATTCTGATGATATCAAGAAGGGACGGCAAACAGCCGAGCCAAATAGCAGCAGTAATCCAACATAATATTGGAAAAAAGAAAAAAAAAAGGGAGTTAGAAGAGAAGAAAAAGAAAAGAAAACAAAAGGGAATCAGAAAGAAAACATGAAAAAAGGGAAACTAAAGGGATCACGGATCCGGGGCTAGCACCAGCAGCGACTAAAGGAGGCCATAACTAGTAGGAGGCAGGGATGGTAAGGAATAGCATATCCAAGGTTCCCAAACCTTAAGTAATCTCGGATGAGAGTCATGAAGAATGCTAGACATCTGCTCATTGAACAACATAGCATTCATCCAAGTCCTCATCCCTTGAAAGACTACCGAAGGGGTTCTCCAAGCTTGAGCTATAGCACGTTTAGCCGAAATGAATAGGTAAAATGCCAATTTCTGTTGAGACCTAGACAGGCTCAAAATTGGGCAATGCAGGAGGGCCACCCTTGCATCCCTACGGACCGTAATATGAAATAGTGTTTGAAGCAAACCAAAGACCCTAGACCAGAAGCCAATCAATCACGGGCACGACCACCAAACGTGTAAGACATCTCCACGTAGACCACAGTTCCGGAAACACCTATCTTCGCCAGTCGGATTAAAGTGAGCAGTCCGAGCCGGGACCCAGTACCACCGTACTAGAACTTTTTAGACTACCTCAAGAGTGACTGTATTAAATGAACATTTCGCTACCATCCCCCAGGCCTTATGCCAATCCTTCGCCTCAATTGAAACACCCAGATCTCGCTCCCACTGAGAAACATAAGACAGGGGCGATGGGGAAGACCTACTGTTAAGGGAGGCATATATTACCGAAATAAGGCCAGGGGACCCTGGGGAATGCTGAAATGCGTGCTCAAAGGGTGTTTTGCGGTAAGGATATGTAGAGGTACGACGGAGGGATAGGACCCAGTGGCGCAATTGCAAATACCGATAATGTTCCCGTTGCGGAACCCCCCTGGATTCTCCAAGAGACTCCCAAGATGGAAGCGTACGACTGTTCAGGAAAACTTGTACAATAACAAAGCCATGGGAGGTCCACCAAGAGAAAGAAGAGGGATGTTCTAGGCCTGGCTGGAATAAAGGATTATGAGTGATCGGCAAAAGGGGTAGGAATGACGAAATCAAATTCCCCGAATATTTAACAGAATCCCAGATTCTCAAACTGTGAAGCATAATAGGGCTCAAATCCGGAGGGAGCAACTTAGGCGGGAGCCAAAGCAATGTAGTTAAGGAAAGCGGAAGTACCGCTTGTTAATAGCGAACATTCTATTCTTAATCACCTCAATGCTGGAGACTTTAACCCCCTTCCTGCCCAGGCCATTTTTAAGTTTCAGCACTGTCACACTTTGAATGACGATTACTCAGTCATGCAACACTGTACCCAAATTACATTTAAATAATTTTTTGTGTTTGAGATAGATAGAGCTTTCTTTTGGTGGTATTTAATCACTACTGGGCTTTTGTTCGCTATGTAAATAAAAAATATACTGAAAATACTACAGTTTCTGTTAGAAAATATTGCAAATAAATAATATTTCTTCATAAATTTAGGTAAAATTGTATTTTGCTACATTTCTTTGGTAAAAAAAAAAATAACCCAAATCAGTGTATATTATTTAGTCTGTGTGAAAATGATAGAATCTATAATCTATGATATACAATAAATATTTGAAAATTGATCAATTCTGATGTACTGACTGTCAAATTTCTTGAGGCACTAAAATGCCAGGACAGTAAGAATACCCCCCAAATAACCACTTTTGGAAAGTAGACAGTTCAAGGTAATTAGTAAGAAGTATGGTGAGTTTTTTGAAGTTATAATTTTTTTGCCACACTTTTTTGGAAAATGAAGCAAATTAATGTTTTTTTCTCAAAGTTGTCATTTTAAGTTATGTCTCCCACACAGTATAGGCATATATATTATTATTCCCCAAAACACATTCTGCTATGCCTCCTATGTTTGAGACCTTTTCACAGCTTGGAAGGGCCGAAAATCCAAAGAGCGCCTTTGGGCTTTCAATTTCCTGACTATAATTTAGGAGCACCAGGATAGTGGAAACACCCACAAAATGAACCCATTTTGGAAAAAGTACTCTCCAAGGTATTTTCTAAGTGGCATACTGAGTCTTGAAAATATAATTTTTGCCACAAGTTTTTGGAAAATGCAGGAAAGAAAATTATTATTTTTTTTTTACACAAAGATGTCAGTTAATAAGTGTTTGTAACACACATCATAGGCATACTTAGAAATACACCCTAAAACACATCCTGGTATTCCTCCGAAGTATTGAGATAGCACATGTGTGATACTTTTTCACAGCCTAGCCACACAGAGGGGCCTAAAATAAAAGGAAAACCTTCAGACACCGCAAGGTATTTTTTTTACACAAATCTGTCAATTTAATAAGATATTTTTCACACACAGCACGGACATACATGGAAATAAATCCCAAAAACACATTCTGCTACTCCTTCCAAGTATGGCAATCGCACATGTGTGAGTCTTTTTCAATATTTGAAATGTTTATATACCAGACATTGTATCTTGTGTATCACACAAATCATCCAAATGTGTCAAAATCGATGTACTTGAATGGTCGCCTATAAAATTAGTGGTCAGAGAATATAGCTTAGTGTAGCGTCACCTATAGCAGTCCCTGTTCTTATAAGCCAAGCAAGTCTAGCCTACTGGTATGTGGCTGCCCCCCAGAATGCCATGTTCACTGGCCAGCAAGTACAAGATGCAAAAGAAAGGCAGAGGAAAAGAATTCCTGTGGTTCCAGGAGTGCAGTTGTCAGTAGGGATGGCTGGGACTGGTGTATCGCAGGAACATAGTCAACGGGATGCTGCAGATCATTGCGTCAGTTCAGGCGCAGGCAGAGACATGGCCAGCAAACAGGCAAAGGATCAGTGCAGGCAGCAGGCAGAAACCTGATCAATAAACAGGTTAGGTTAGTACATGCAATGCTTTGCTTCACAGCTGTGGCAGCAATACCCCCTGTGCCTCCACCAATCATAACCCATTCAATTGAATAGGGTTGCTTGTGTGGGATCCAAGGGGTAAAGCAGGTGGTGGAGAGGCAATACAATGCCTCCGCACTGCCTGTCAAATGCTCTCTGAAGAGCGATCTGATTATTGATGGCTCCTCAGAGCATTGTACATGTGAACAAGTCCTTATGGTGACACTATAACTGCTGTACGGTGATCAGGGACTCCGTAACCTCTGTGGCAGTGATCAGGGACACTGCAATTGGCATGGCAGTGATCAGGGACACTGTAAGGCCCCTTTTACATGGCCGGGTTGGTGTGGCCACTAGATTCCTGCAGCAAGAATCTATGGATGACCAGGTTATGTGATCAGCAGTGGCTCCTCAGCCCATTTAAACTAATGGAGGGCTGACAGCAGCAGCTACTGTTCTCATGCAGCCACACACAGTGGGGTAAGCTGCGGTTTTGGACAGATGTCCGAGCCTAGATGCAGCTGACTGAGGCAAGGCTTGGACATCTGTCCCTGTCGACAGCTAACCGCTCTGTGTGGGGCTACATGCAAACTGTAGCGACCGCTGTCAGCCCACCATTAGTTTAAAAGGGCTGATCGGTCTTGTAATTGCAGGGTCAGACTGACCATTTGGAAAATCGGGCACTGCCCGAGGGCCAGGGGTCAGTAATGGGCCCCATGAGATGCCCCTGGTACCGTTTTCATAGGATTTTTTGAGTTTGGGCAAGGACACAGGGGCCCCACGATCCCCTATTGCCCGGGGGGCCCCATGAGTTGTCAGTCCGCCCCTGTGCATACCCCAGTCATTCCAGCAGCAAGACTCCACAAATTTTTTTTGCAGGAATCCAGAGGCTACACTAACCTAGCCATGTAAAAGGGGGTTAACTGGTGTGGCAGCGATTAGGGACACTGAGTGGGCGGTGGTGGTTAGGGACAGACTGGTGACAGTATGCAAAAAAAAAAAAAACATTCTATTCTTACAATTTTTATAATTTTTTTTACAATTTTTTTTTTACATACTGTCACC